TGAGAAGAAAAGATTATCCGCCAGTGTTACTGGGGAAACGCGTGGGGAATTCAACCACTTGTGTGAAAGCTTGAGTGATTGAAAAGTTAAGGGTTTGGATGCCAGCAAGATCAGTGACAGAGTGTTTAAGCGAACTGGTTTGGTGGGCATTAAAGTCACCGAACACGAATGTTTGCAAACGGATGTAGGGAGATGGTCTTGTCTATATTATCGGAAATACTATCTAGCACGCAACAGTCATGAGAGGAAGGGGAACGATAGAGAAAGAAGAGATAGCAGACTGAGTAAATAAAGTAAAGAGAGACGGAGACACATGTAAGAGTGGTGTGGAGATTCAAGAGAGAGTTCCCTAGTTAGCGGGAGATGTTCGCGGATATAAGCTCCTAGGCCATGCATGTGGTCATTAGAGTTAGTCCTAAAGAGAGAAAGATAGCCAGGAATCGAGAAATCAGAGGAGTGGATTGAAGAGTTAAGGTTAGTTTCGCAGAGAGCTAAGATGTCCGGAGATTTTTCGAAGAGGAACGATTCCATTCTTTTGAAGTTTGTACAGATGCCACAAATGTTGGAGAAAGGTTAAAGTGTTTAGGTGTTTTTTTAGCTGGTTTAGATGTATACCTTTGTTTGTTTATAGTCATGATGTATTATTTTGGTAAGGAAAGGCTTAGGGTAGTAGTAGCAATCACTCGTCTAATGAAACATGTGCAGGAAGGGAACTGGCGTAGACTGTAACATAATGTAGCCAAGGGGTTACCCACCAGATGTGCTTGCAGGGACACCCTTCCATGCGCAACATGCTAGTGCAAGAACTCTGATATTATACAACTGTTGATCAGAGCAGCCTCTCAAAACACTATGTAAAAGTTCGGACTCCTAACTACCAATCGGGAACACAAACCAGAAAACTGCCATCCAGGTACCCTCAGTATAAAGAGACATAGCCACCATCCACACATATCACAAAAAAATCTATGACAGCAACACTATTAAGGCCAAAGAATAGGAAAGGAACCGGGAGCCCCTTCTTAAACAGGTGACCCCCTAATGTTCAAGAGAAGGGGAGGAGTGGAGTATGGATTGGGCGATAGGAGAGTCTATCTACTTGTAATAAATAGAAGCAAAAAAAAAAAAAAAAAAAAAAAAGAAGAAAAAACAATCCCGGGTTTGACTTCCAGATAAATTATTTCAAAAAATGAGCTTTTAGATTAACTTATTTGGAGAGCCGAGCTGCGGCACACAGATATCCAAGCACAAACATGTATACATACCTGTTTGTCGGGGAGTTAAAAAAAATAAAATAAAATAATTAAATTTTAACTTAGTATAAGTCCGAATACCAAAGTCCAAAATATAAATACGAAGAGATACTGAAAAGTTTATGGTTCAAGGATACATATGATGTTTTCTAATTTGGCTACATTTTGAGAAGTGGGCCGGTCTAAAAACATTTCAGCACCCACCCAGTAAAATTGAAAATTATTGTATGTAAGCATTTTAGTTCAGATCAGATCTTGATTCATTTATATTTGATTCTGCTATCGATTCTAACTAAATGCCTCATAAAAGAGTCCATTGATCATTTTTCATTCAATTTCACTCCACCAATATTGATCTATAGTTCTCTACACACGTGTATTTGTGTGTAAGAGAGACCAATAAAGCATTCATACAGCCATATGTACACGGCATGTATATATGTGTGTGTATGCCAATATGCTTGTGGGGCGTGTAATCGTCTGATAAGATAGAAAAGAAATAAATATAATGGGCCTAAAAAAGAAATGATATTTATGATAATGACGGCTGGGATTCTTTTGTTAATATTATGACATCGTAACCCTTATGTCAGTGCCAAAATTCGTGGGCAGTAGAATTTCTAGCTACGAAAAGAGTGAAGCTAGGAAGGAACGGAAGAAGAGGGTGTGGAAAGGAGGGAGGAGCCATACAAAACGCAATTATGACGGAGGATTGTTGCACACACAAATATTACTGTATCTATTAAGAGAATCGAGAGAGAGAGAGAGAGAGAGAGAGAGAGAGAGAGAGAGAGAGAGAGGAAGTAGAGAGTGAGTCAAGAGAACTAGGAAAAGACAGAGAGAGAGAGAGAAAACAGAAGAGAGAAGGGAAAATGAGAGGGTAATGAGAGTAGAGAGAGTAGTGGGAAAGAGAAAGAATTTATTACTGTTCCATAAAAGAAAAACTTTTTTTGCCTCACACATAAAAATAATTTCATAAGAATTTTAATTGAAAATAATTCTATCTACAAAAATTCATAATTCTGCTCGTATTTTCATGCATACAAATATAAATTGCATACATTCATGTATAATGTCCAGATCCTTGTTTCCAATTCCTGTTACAGACGCCTGCTCAGGCACATTCATCTTTCTGCAACACCCACACAACCCGCCTGTGTTATATAATCCAACTATGCTGAGCGGGCCTTAGTCACAGTTTTTGGGGGGAGAGATCGTATCATCTGGCGTGATCAATAGTTTAAAAAAGGTCAATGGACATTATGGTTTAATCAATTTCACTAACAACGCTTGGATCAACCAGTGGCTACGGTTTTCCAGGCATTTTCAAAAGGTGTCACACTATGGGGGTCGTCTATCCAGGCCGATAACACCAAAAGTCATTTTCTTAGTGAGCTTTGAGTTTGGTTCTCATGGTCAGAAAGCGAGCGATCTAACCGCTCAGCCACGCGTTCATAGCCACGTATAAAATTAGACATACATGCAACATACACATAGAAGCAAGAGGTCTTGTAACGAGATTTTAGCGGACTAGTCTTCGCATGCTACTTCTAAAGTAGTGAGTTTGATTCTCACTAGGTGACCCACAATTCTGTCAGTGCTTGAACTTGAGCTAAATTTTACGAGATATTTACATAAATTACGTCAGATTTCTTCAATTTATATCGGTGGCGACTCCGAGGGTCGGGCTAAACCCGAGCGTGTCAACATACAGGTTTATCTATTTCAATAGCAACAGCAACAGCAACAAAAATCTTTCATAGTGCGTCGTTTTCATTCTTGACTTCAGCTGGCTGGATCCAAAATTAATTGTTTGCAACTCCGTGCATCAAAATATCGACCGAAATACATTTCATCGATATTGTTCATAGTAAAGAAGAAAGAAAGAAAAAAGAAAAACAAAAAAAACAAAAAAAAAAACAAAAAAGAAAGTAAGTAAAAAAAGAATGAAATAAAATTAATGTGGCTAATCAGGTTGCGTAAATCTTAGGCCTATTAAGCTGGAGACGTACTTAATAGGTAATGTATTTCTTGCTTAATTTTATAAATAACCTTTTAAAAGTTTCTAATGACTTGCATGCCCCTTTTTCAAAGAATTCATTTCTATTTCAACTTACTATTTTCAAATGTCCATTTTAAATAATTTATTCCGTGCAGTATAAGTTTTTTTTAGCGGAATGTATCAATTGAAAGGAGGGCAGGTTAAATTTAACCCGATTTAAAGTCGGCGAAAATCAAACACAAACATGAAATAAGATATACGCGTTTTAGATGTCTTGAAAAGTTTTAAAAATAAATGTTTATTTTTATAGAATTATTACAATTAATATTAAAATACCAAAATGTGTTTTTTTATTTTCATGGACAGAGATTTTTTAAAATTATATATTTTACTTTGAGTAAAAAATTGTAATGAACCCGACAAACATTGAAAATCGCCCCCAAAATTCAGATCTATCGAATAATATATGTAAAAAGCAAGACAAAAAGAAAACTTTTGAAGATAAGCTTTCTTTTTTTGTTTTTATTCACACACACACACACACACACACACACACACACACACACACATATATATGTATATATATATATATATATATATGATAAAGATACAGTTTTAAGTTATGTTATATTCATGAGTGAAAGTGCTCAATATCAGGGATAGAACATATGTAATTATAAAAAGGGAACATTGACGTCAACACCCAGCAGCGACAGTCTGTTTCATGCTTAAACGCAGTCATCAGGTCTGACTATGGCGTTTAAGCATAAAATAGACTATCGCCGTTTGGTGATGACTTCAATGTACACTTATATATATATATATATATATATATATATATATACGAAGCTTTAATAAAAGTGCAACATGCCAGGTTGATATACGTTTCCTGTCGGATTCCGTTTCATATTTGATCTATAACATATATATATATATATATATATATATATATATATATATATATATATATACATATACACACACACACACACACACACACACACACACACACACACATATATATATATATATATATATATATATATATATATACACTAGAACAAACGTCTTCTCGGAAGCGCATATATAATTAAAAACACGCACATACATGCATATACGTTAAATCATACTCTTACTTAAATAGGACAAGAATATAGTTAATGTCATAATTTTGAAAAGATTGTGAAGCTACCATTTCCCAAGTAACGAAATTCTAATCATGCATTGTCTGTATTTGGAAACATCGCTATTGGTGTGCCCACAGAAGTACACTTCAAATGCATTCAGAAACATGCGAAGAGGGCGAGATAATGAAAATAAGAGAGAAAGCAGTTGAGAAAGAAAATAGAGAAACAAAAACACCTTGATGATAGCATTTCAGCCATACAGAAAGAAGAATACCTACACATAAAAAATGACAAATAAAATAGCACACACAAGCACACACAAGGACACACAAGCACGCACACGGAAGCAACCCCCTCCACACGCACACTGTCTGCTAATGAGAAGAGTATTTGTAAAGTGAACGGGTATTTTTAGCTGAGAATGTATTTGTTGGCAATTTTTCTCTGCTGATTCTGAGTTTCTATTTCAATTGATTAATTTGATCGCATTTCGATCAGCACCAAAAAAAAAAAAAATGTACAACGAGATTTAGCCTACACATGAAAAGAGTAGCAGAACGGAAAGGAAAGGACATCTTGTCGGATCAATCTTTCATTCGTTCTTTCTTTCATTTGGAGGTTGTTCATAACTATTTTCTTTCTTTCTTTCTTTCTTTCTTTCTTTCTTTCTTTCTTTCTTTCTTTTCTTAATGGCGTATTCATCACTGGTTCCAGTCGTCTGTGTTCGATCTCAGTTAAAGTCTGCATTTCGTCTCTGAGTTGGACGAAGTTTCAATTATTCAATTATCCAATTCTATTCATATCTAACTTATTTCACATCTAATTCAGTTGTTTTTAACTGAACAAGCTTCGCTGAGATTCATTATCATTTTTATTTATATTATGAACTCGAATAGGCTTTGCTGTATTGGATTATTAATAGTCTCTTAGTCATTCTTCAAAATGTGGAGCATCTTGAAAATGTCCCTAAAACAACCATAAACAATGTTTTTTCTGTAAAAAAAAAAAAAAAAAAGATGGAGTAAGAAATGAAACATTGCAGAATGGAAATAAAAATAATATACAAACGATGCAGACACGCATGCGCACTCCTTTCTATCAGTCTCTCTTTCCATCAAGCGCATGCGTAGACAATATGATCTGTGAAATAAGAACATCAAAAACAGAAGTAAGCGGACACGTGATAGAGAAAGAGAGAAAGAGAGTGAATATTAGTCGATGGAAAAGTTTTGTTAGGAAGATTTTAGGAGTGTCTGAGATTTACTCAACTCTCTATTGCTTGCACAAATAAATGACGTCGCTAAAAATGGGTTCCACATGAACAAGAACTTTGGTTATCATTTGAATTCCTGTCTTTTTTTTTTTTTTTTACTCGATGAGTAAAATAAAAATTTCTTCATAAAAGAATCACTGACGAAAACTGATTTATTATGAATATCCAATGAAAATTGTGCCGGGATCCAGGAAAGCTTTCAACATCTATTGGGGAAAAATCTTTTAATTGGTAGAATTGAAAAAATAATTCTTCCTGTTGAATTGCTAGATCATGGAAAAACTGTTACAATGTGCAAGTGGCTTGTTTGAATGGCGCACTGGTAAAGAAAAGACGTATTTTACTAGATTTTGTTGCGTGACATTGCAGTTACATTTGTTTTGCAAAAGCGAGACAATAAATAACCATAGAATTAGTACTGGAAGTTCTTCCACATGTTACACTTTTATCCAAACTTGTCAGGATTGATTTGTTTCACAAAACTACGTGTCAGATTGGTAGATCCAATAGGTAAAAAATTCATCGAAGAATTAAATAAATTAAAACCGAAATTAATTTTTCCATCCATTTTTCTATAAGAGACAGTATAATGTGATATAAGAGCAAAAGGTAAAATGCTTTCAGGACTGAATAATGAGGCTATGAATCTATAATATATAATTGTATTATATAATATACAAAAGTAAAAACAAATATAAGTAAAATATTTATCAAACCCATCGAGGAACACTTCCCAAAATCAAGTAACCTGCACAAAATATTCAATAGATATATTCTAAAACTTAGCGAGAAATCATAAAAACACAACCGAAAAACATAAATATACCACAAATATTCACAGAACACATCTGTAACATCAGAACAAAGTACTAATGCCCATTAGACAGTAACTTCCTGCAACATACCGTAATATAAGAAGCTAAGAACTGAGATCTAAAGTAAAACCAGAAAACGTATAAGCAAGACGTGCAGAAAATAGAGAAGCTATTTCTACAAGACAGGAAATACACAAGCGGAATAATCATATCAAAGCATATATGGTAACTCAAAAACACAGACCAAAAACACCATTACGTTGTAGCCTTCTCGTATGTGATTTCTTCATGGTGTTCATTCATTGAAAAACTAAAAGAAAATAAAGATGGAAAAGAAGATTATGGCGAGTTTAGATGTCATTTGACATATACACAAATAAATCTGCTGAAAATGCCTAAACATCTTGAGAAACAATTTCATTAATTCTAAAGAAAAAATTTCCTTCAAGAAAACCAGACATCTGTATATGCCAATCATTGATTTTTTTTTCCTTTCAAAACAATTTTTGCAAACAAACATTAGGTTTACCAATGGGATTCCTCCTAAGCTGTATTCTAACATGAATATTCTTATATTTTTATAATCCGGTCCATTTAAACAATCTTACCTAAAAAATCAACTTACATAGATGGTGTTTTGTTAATATAAACCAAAACAAAAAATTGTCAAACATTATAAAAAAAAAAATGAATAATATCGGACCCAACCTTTTCTCGAAATTTTATTAATCCCAAATAATAGCAAATTATATTTCAAGATTTACCGAAAACCAATGCCATAAGACGAGACACGTAAAAATTTAAAGATTCGAATTTCTAAACATAGAAGAAACTTTCGTTCGGATATTTAATGAATTAATTACTTAGAAACAAAATGGCCATCATTTCTATTTTTAAATAATATTACTTTTAGTTAAAAGAAAATTGAACACAAATAATTACAGAGAAAATTCAAAGAAAAAGATAAATAAATAATCATCATACAAAAAATAGCATTTCTTTATGTTGTCTATATTCATAAAACATATCTTGGAAAAATGCAAAATCCATACATTTGCAGATATATTAGCCTAACATGACACATTTCATTTTCAACATTCATAATATTATACGCAATTTTGAATAGCCACTTAATCCAACATTTCGAAAATTAAACAACTACAGACACGTCATGATATATTCATATAGCGACTACGCAACCAATGAAAACAAAACTGTCCAGAATTTAAAAACTGAAATATAAATCCGAATCATTCTACTCTTAAAATTTCTGACGAAGCTAAATAAATAGCAAGACATGAAATTTATAAGGATTTTCTACTTGTTCCTTATTTATTCATTCTGTTAGATTTGATCGATGTTTTCAACTCAGTAAACTAAATGTCACTCTCAGGATGCGAATTATGAATTTTACTAGATTTTCCAATTTTCTCATTATTAGCAATTTTATTGAGATTCCAACGAACATAAAATTGTAATAAAATTATGATTACAGAATTTGCATGAAGTTTACAAAAGAAAATGTTTTGAACGAAAAATTGAAGACAGTCTAACAAAGTTATAAAGATAACATTAATGTGAAAAATATGCTTCATCTTATGAAACTAGTTTTAGAAATTGTTCCAGGATTGATTTTGTGCGCTGTTGTATTTATTTGTGAGAAACAGTCTGTAGAGCATCCAGAATAATATTCCAAAGTTCACATTTGACGGTAACGTTAAGCTTCCTCTTTAGAATTTTCTACAAGTATTCAATCGAGTTCAGGTGGAGCGAACAGGAATCACGTCTGAAATCTCTCGTATATAATAACTCTATCTATAAAAGGCAGGATGTGTGTGTGTGTGTGTGTGTGTGTGTGTATAACGAATGCACGGCCGCAATTTTCGACGGATTTTCACCAAAATTTACATGCACATGCTCCAAGTTAGTGGGAAGGCCAATACCGATTTTGCATTTCCCAACTCCCATTGATAGTGGAAATAATCGATTTTTTCATGCTTCTACGGCAGTTTTCATGTAGTTTGCAGCCATTTTGTACTGGCCAGAGTGAGAACCTATAGCTGGCTGCCACGAATAGGCAGGAAGATTCTATTGGCCAGCGTGAGAGCCAACAGCTGACTGATACGAATGTTAACTAGTATGCTAGCATGCAAAAAAAAATCGATAGCTGCATTCGTCACAAGTGGGAAAAATTTAAATCTGCATGGCACTTTACTCCAATTGGCTCATTCGCTTACTCAACGTTGATTCTGATTCCGCAGAACCGGGTTGGGTGTGAAAAAGTATTTGTTGTTAACATTCTTTTTTTCATTCGGTTTTTCCAGTTACGAGTCCTTTTTTAAAGCTGATCGTTTTGTGTTCATTTTGTTTAGTTCTTTTTTCGTAACAGATTTAATGTTTAGTATAGAGCTTAGAAAAAATTCGCAATGTGAGGCAAGAAGTAAGGCATGTAGCAACATCAGCACGGCAAAGGGCACTCCTTTAAAGGCAAGGAAGGGCAAAAATATTTTAAGTCAAGTGATAGCGATTGCTGTATGAGTCTTACAATTTTTGAATCAAGCCCGGGCAACACCGGACCAGCTGCTAGTAAATGATAAAACAGAAAGTAAGCATTGTTTGAGAACGTTCATTCCTGAAGGAAACGCGTCACAGCATAGTTTTTCAACTTATTATTGATTTACTATTACACACACACACACACACACACACACACACACACACACACACACACACACACACACACACACACATATTAGCGTAGCTGTGGGTTCTCCTCTCGGTCCGACTTTATTTAATTTCTACAAGGTTTACGTAGAAAAAATTATTTAACAATTTTGCCATACCTTTATGTTCAATATTGATTAGATTCATACTAACGGAAAAACTCGATAAAATAAAAAAAAATCCTGAAAGAAATATTTGAAGAAAATTCTGCTTTATATCGAGGAACGTAACATTAATAGCAAAATCGTTTTCTTCGACATTTTAATCGACATTAAAATTCATATTTTCACGACTTCATTGTAAAAGCATGCGAAAAAAATCTTAATTATAAATATGAATGTCCTCACGGATATAAAATAGTTGTTATAAAAACAATAATTAACCGAATTAAATTTTCTTCTTCACACACATTCTTTTATAAATAACTGAGCAACATACAACAAAGATTTATCAGCAATAATTTCCCCAACCAGTTTAAAACCTCTGACCTCTATCATTAAAAGAAAAGGCCGATGTGTACACTTCTCACATCTATACAATCGCAACCCCGTCTTAATTCTTGACCGATTTTCACTTCTATGCACCAATCTACAGAGAGCTTTGTTTTGACTCCTTTGGATGTCAAAGGGCTCCTCACGATGCGTCGCGAGATCTGTCACCTGCATCCGTCTGCTGGTAATCTGGAAATGCCGAAAATCGAGATTTAACAGGGGTCGATAAACACTATCGAAAAGGTGAAGCCCTCCTTGTCGCACTTTAGCGAAAGGTTGGTAAATGTTGCACGATTGTGTCGTGTGAAAGAAGCTAATTTAGCGTGGTATCTGGGAAGTGACCGATTAGGGATTTTGCACATCTGTAAAAGAACTGTCACCCTAGTTAAGGTAGTGATTAGTTGCTTTTTATCTTTTGTTAAAAATAGTTTCAATTAGTTATGCTAATGCTATTATTCTGTTGCT